CTAGAGTTTATTAGCTAAGGAAACTTTGTGATTCAAACAATTCAGAGTGTGAAACACATAAGCTTTTTGAATAGCTTTGTCTGGTTTAAGCATACACATTGTCCTTCTTTTTTGTTGTTCTTAGCTCTGTAGTAATTCAGCTTATTAACTAGAAAGTTAGCAGAATAATTGAACAAACTTGAGATGGTATCAGAGACTCATCCCCAAAGAGGAAATGTTGAGGGATAGTTGACATGAGCATTATTGAAAAGTAAGATAGATATTATCATTGAGGATGTGTTCAAAGATGCCATTGTTAGGATGAATACCAAATTTGGTAATGTTTTATACTTAATATTGTGAATATTGTGAAGTTCAAGTAAGAAAAGAACATTTAAATGCTGCCTGTTACTGTATAGATTCTCGTTCTTGTTCACTGAAATCTGAGTCTGTTTGAATGTGTTTTAATAAGAGAAGCTAATATAAAGCATCATGTACATAAACACAATTTCAGATTTTATTTTTTAACATCTAACTTCAGAATATGTACATTTGTAAATATACCAGGGGTATGGATGTTACTCCTATTTTCATGTTGTGGAAATATGATCGAGGCATCATGGGAGTAATTTCCCATAAAAAAAATTAGGAGACATAGGACCCTGGGAATACAGGACCCTTGAAACATATAACCCTTGAAATATAGGGCTGTTTCCAGAATTACAAAAAGAGAGGATATGTCTTTGGTATCACAAGGCCCTGGAAACATAGGGATGTTTCGAGAAGTTTCACAGAAAAATAAAGGGCCCAGTGAACATGAGAATGACCCTAAGCAAGGCTGTAGGGTGTCTCATTTCTAGCTGGTCAAAAATCACATAACATCCAGACCCCCGACTACGCTCGACCCACTCCAGTTTGCATACTGCCCTAACCGCTCCACTGATGATGCCATATCAGCAGCACTTCACCTGAGTCTGGCCCATCTGGAGAATAAGAACAGCCATGTGTGGATGCTCCTCATTGACTTCAGCTCTGCCTTCAATACATCAATACGTCATCCCCATGCACTTGGTAAGGAAACTCAGCCCATTAGTCATCGACACCCTGTGCAACTGGTTACTGGACTTTCTCACAGACAGACCCCAGGCAGTACAAGTACATTAACATGAACACTGGAGTTCCCCAGGGCTGTGTGCTGAGCCCTCTGTTGTTCACCCTGATGACTCATGACTGTTGTGCCAAGTACAACTTGAACCACATTATTATGTTGCAGACGACACAATGGTGGTGGGCCTCATCAGCAACGATGATGACTACAGAGAGGAAGTGAACCAACTCGTCATCTGGTGTGACAATTACAACTTGTCACTAAATGTCAACAAGACAATAGAAATTATTGTCAACTTCAGGAGGAAGCACATGGTACATACTCCACTTACAATCCATGGTAACGCTGTGGTGAGAAGGTTTTGGGAGTGCACATCACAAACGACCTGACATGGACTACACACACCACCTCCCTTGTCAAGAGGGCACGCCTTCACTTCCTACGATGGATAAGAAGAGCAAACCTCCCCCCTTCTATCCTTGCAACTTTCTACAGAGGCGCTACAGAGAACATCCTGACCAGCAGCCAGAATGTGGTATGGCAGCTGCACCGCTGCAGACCAGAAGTCCCTCCAGAGAGTGGTGAGGATGGCAAAAAGAAACATTAGAACCCCACTTCTGTCCATACAAGATCTCTACCTGTCACGCTGCCTCAGCAGAGCCACCAAAATAGTCAGAGACCCCCACCCACCCTGCCCATGGACTGTTCAGCCTTCCGCCCTCTGGCAAACGCTACTGCAGCAAGCAGTGCAAGACTGCCAGACTCAGCAGGAGCTTCTTCCCACAGGCCATCAGACTACTCAACTCCAGACAGTACACAAAATGCTGGCCTAAAATTTTTATTATAATATATTAGACATTTTTTTTTTAAATTGGAGAAACGCAATCTTGTTGTATAGTCTGAATGACAATAACATTTATTTTGACTTTGACTTTGACTTATATTGGCAGTCTCTTTTCCAAAATTCCTACCAATACAGGCTAGGACCAATCACAGCACATGGGATTGTTTATATTTCTCTGACCAACATGGTACAGAAGAAAATATTAAGATGTGAGTTAAATTGTGTTTCTCTATTCATATGCCTTGTCATTGTGCTTCATTTTGTTTTATGAAGATAAGAAAATTAGCTAATTCATAATTATGAGTAAACACATACAATACATATACATACAGTGCCCTTCCTCCTAGCTTACACACCTCAGTTCTGAGATTCACATCCCACCTCTGATCAACACATGCTGCCTTTGCATCACTGCATAAATAAAAAAAAAATGCATGTATTTGAGGGAAATAAAAAGTCAGCAGTAAATCTAAATGATTTAAATGATTTAAAACGTGTGCTAGAGTTTTCTGGAAGCTGAGACCTAGAACAAAAAACTAGACAAACTAAACAGCTTCACAAATCAAATCAAATCAAATCAGATTTATTGTCACATCACAAGAGTACAGGGACACAGGTGAGTGAAAAACTTGAGTGCGAGTTCCACAAATTATGCAGAGAACAGTATTTACACATAGATAAACAAAACTATAGATAGGATAGAAGAATAGATAAAACCAATTTAACTAAAATATATACATATAATCTTAAAAATAATACACAATAACTTAAAAATAATAATATTATTCACTCGTCATCCCCATTCTTAAAAGATGCCTTTTCAGTTGGAAACATCTTTCTGACTGGAGATGAGGACACATGACATTGCTGCCGGACATACAATGGAGAGTGTAATTTTGTTATTATTTAATGAAAAGTTGTGCAACCTTCTAGCACATTGTTACTAGTGTGTGTGAGTGTCTTTGGATTGGAGGGGCGGAGAGGAGTGGACTCACCATGGCAGAACTTCCCATCAGGCTGCAAAATGAAGTCTTTCCAGCAACGGCACATATAGGACACACGAGTGCTAACACACATGTGCTCACACTGATGATCCACCACCAAACACGGGTCTACATCTATACAATACACACATTATCATTTACATTTCATCAAATACCAGATCAAATAAAATCAAATAAAAGATCAGCCCATTAAAAAGACTTTAAAGGAATGCACAGCGTTTTTCAGTCTAATCTCTATCTGCTGCATCTGTAGCATTTGACCAATTACCATGGACAATCATTTTGATGTGTTGGCCTGTGCTTAGTAAAAGAATAGAAAATATGTTGATTCCGATCACCTAATACAAACCAGTGGGTAGGTAATGAAACACCCTCTCATTGGGTTGTAAGTGCGTTTAGAATTTAGGTTTTGTTAGGATTTGGTAAGTAATTTTCTTCCTGTTCTTTGTATAATAAAATGTATAATTTATTTAGAACATAATTTCCACAATTAGGTTCTCATAGTCATCAGGCCAGATACTGCAGGAACTGTCGCTCACAAAGATGAAATTCAGCACCTTCCCTTTACAGAGGCTGTCTGAAAAGCAGACCTGGCACTAAGTAAGACATCAATATAGCACTCAAAAGAAAATTTTAGTGCAAAGACCTACTCCACTCCAAACAACGTAAGACAGAACAGAAAGGAAGGGATACAAAATTTGGGCCATAGCATATAATATAATATAGAAATAATATAAAAAATTATGATAAGGCAAATGTAGTGTAGTGCTGTGACACTATGTGTACACAAGTGCTCACAATAGTTCTTAGGTTCAGTACATTGCTCTTACTGACCTGCACACAATGTTGAGTTAAACACAGAGATAAGTGTGTTAATCTGACTGAAATTGGCCACCAGGAACGCATGCTTCGAATGTGGTTCGCTCCAACTGCTCTCATGTCCGTGTCAACTCGGCCCACCCCCACAGCAAAGATCTCTATCCCGGCCTGCCGGGCAAGCTCCGCCTCCTCTTCCACCTGGTCCTGGGGCCGTCAGTCCGTCACCACCATGGCCACATGTGGTACTCCAAGCTCCACTAAGCGTGCTCCATGAGCCACAGAGAAAGCTTCCTCACATAGAAACTGTAGAGCCAATCCTGTCATGGTACCAGAGGCCAGATGCTCCATCTGACTGACCGCTTCCTGCTTGTCTTCCTTCTCGTAGAAGGCATTCAGGAAAAACTCATTTTGTACTAGGCTGCCATACTGCAGCAGTCCAACACGGGTCTGGTTTTCCCCCACATCCAGGAACTGCAGCATGTCCTTGATGAAGGCCTCTGCGGGAACTGTCAATCACAAAGATGAAATCCAGCACCTTCCCCTTACAGAGGCTGCCTGAAAAGCAGACCTAACTTTAAGTAAGGCATCAATAGAGTACTCAAAAGGAAATTTTAGTGCAAAGATGCAACGTAAGACAGAAAAGACAGGAAAGATTGGAAATTTGGGCTGTAGCACATATAGCCCACAGGCACCCTAAAAACTGCGGTCCCCATCAAAGACCACACTTGAGGGTACTTGCATGCATTTGAGACCAACTGTACACACTCCTGTTATGCAGTCGTGTTTGTCGGCGCGCGTGAGGAAACATAACCAATTTGTTATCGAGCCAGAAGCAAGAAATTATGATGCGAATTTTTAGACTTTGTTAAACACGGGAAAAGACAGGTGTTTTTAAATCTTAATCGGCTGGGCGATGAAAGGTAAATAACAGTTTACACTCACTGGATTTAAAGGTAATCCGTGTAATCCGCGAGAAATTGCTTATGAGATCCAAATTCAGAACTTCAGGTAAAGCAGGACTGAAAGCGGTAAACCTCCAGATGTTTTGCGCACCCAGATGTGCTGTGCAGCTCGCGTTTTCCCGCCCTCTGTGGTCCTTTATGACATGCTCTACTACTGTCCATGGCTATTAAGGGTAAACAGGAGCAGGAAACTGTTAGATTTATTAAAAAACAACAAAATGAATGCCTCAACGGCGACAATGAAAAAACGTGATATAACGTGAATAAATCTGAAAAAATCGGTGCATGCTTTGAGGGACGTTTACTGTCAAAATTATTTAACAGATCTTGACGTCAACTTGCAAATCAATCAATTAAAATCACAAGGGTTAGTCCATACGATCCGTGCATGATAGTTGTAATGATACTGCTTTTCGGTAGCATTTACTTTTGCTATACTTGACACAACTGATTAAAAAAATAATTGTAATCTTTGTTAGAGTAAAACATATTTTGAGTGCTAATGCCCTTTATTTAACTAATCAGCGAATTAACAAGCCTTTCTTGAGTTAAATGTGTATGATAGAGTGTCACACACTGAGCGTGATACTCAGTAAACTATTTAGGCCAATAGTACTACAGGACTGAGACTAAAGAATCCAGGCGACAGTAAAGCAAAGAGAGACTCAGTAGAGATGATTTAAGATCACAATATTTTATTTCATAAAGATGTATTCGAACATATCTGAAATTTAATTTTAACATCACTAGGCAAAGGACATTCCCAGGAACAGCAGCACACCCTATTTCAATGTTGATCAGTCTATTTATTATAAAAATCTGATCATTCACAGTGATCAATATGTATTTGAATCACAACAACACACATATATGCAAAACAACAGTGTATTGTACTTGTTACAACAAACACAAATAGCAAAAAGCGAGTGAGACTACTGATAGTGCCCATCTTTGGGATAGCTTCTCACCATTAAACATCCTTGCTGAAGTGTGGTGGGAATATGTGACAAGTCTATAAGAGTAAAATAGGACAGCCATCAGACATAGTAACAAAATAATAAATTAATATGTGCAGTTACTATGTCTTGAGTCATTAGGTGGAAACTGTTGGGTTGTGGAAAGAATCTTGCCATCTAATTTTACATTCACCATGGTCAACCCTAAACAAGAATCAACAGAATATGTGACAAGTCCATAAGAGTAAAACAGGACAGCCATCACACATAGTAATAAAATAATACATTAATATGTGCAGTTACATTGTCTTGAGTGGCTAGCTGGTAACCGTTGGGTTGTGGAAAAAGTCTTGCCATTTAATTATAAACAGCCTTTATTTTCAGAGAGCCTGCCCTTGTATGTACCTTTATCTCTGAGAAGAATTATTATTCATTACTAATAAATCAATAAGTAAAACCACATACATGTGTATTTAAATATATTTGAATACACTGGAGATTTTACATTTACCATGGTCTACCCTAAACTAGAATCAACAGAAGTGTTCTTAGCATGAAGAGGTCAGCTAGAATTTAGAAGCAAAAAATCCTTCAGAACTCAGACCTTTTCTCCAACTGCCCACAGTCCTAGTAATTTACAGCTTATTGAATGTGCATTCAGTATCTTTGTACATAGATTCAGAACTGTCTTTGGATTCAGTATAGGCTGGATGAGTGGACCCAAAACAGCAATCATAAACAGCAAATTAACTCAGGCCAACATGAAAGGAGGTTGGGCTTGCTTGACTGGGAGTGCCACTGTGTCATCATATGGGGGCAAGAGTACCTGCCAATCAAAAGAAAATGGTTACATAAATAGCAATAAAAGGGGTAAGTACACAATCAAATTTGAACTGATCTGAAGGATTGAGGTAGTGTGGTGGTGCCCACATTACTGAGACATTCAAGTTTAAATTGTATAGCCTGGTGGAGTATGTATATCTTAAAGTAACTAGATAGCACATAGTCATAAAGACAATCACATAAGCTTCTGAATTGTTTTATTCAATGATTTTTAATAATGGAGACACTGGTTGTCGCTATAGCAGGTTTCATGTGGAGTCTTTGAAGGGACTGAAAATGCTGTGGACGAACCCTATGTGTGGGCTGCACCCTGATTTGAAAATGATGCCAAAATGCCTAAGAATTAGGAAGGAAAAATTGCTAATGTGCTTCACGCAATGCCTTATAAACAGTGACCAAGAAAAGGTTAAAGGAAGTGGAGACTGAGAGAGTAGCACTTGGAATGCAAAACAAGTTGCTTCACTCTCTAGTCAGTAAAAGTGTAATGACCATTAAAAATTACCAGGCAAGTGAGACTATTTTGAAGGAGGAAACAGTGCAGTTGAAACAAGTGCTCTCAATCCCACATAGTTAGAGGCACTGATTAAGAGCTTTGAGAAGTCTGACCCCTCAAAATGTGATCCTTTGGAGTTTCTGGTCGACTTGGAACAACATGTTAATGTGCACATTGCACAGACTATCAAATGCAAACACTTGTGGTGTTTTGATTACGTCTTCCACCTACTTTGACAAGGGCGATTTCAGATAAGGTAAAGAGTAAAATCATCAAAATGAAAGTAAACTAGCTTTGCTAGATATCTTGGGGACAAGACACATCAACTGGGGAAAATCACAGAGATTGCTATGAAAGAATTTCATTTCAGAGAGACTTATGGATACTTTTGTAACCTACAGTGGCATTCCTGACATTACATAAGAAGATCCCAGATTCAAATCTGCTCCCATAGGCCAATGTTGCAGTCTCACTTGTGCTGCATCTATTTATTTAAAGGCACATAATACAATGTAAAAACAGGCTTGTCAGTTCAACCTAAAAAAATGACTTCACATGTAGACTTCACATGTAGTAACAAGCAAATTAACCAGTTTTATTCAACTCAAAAATGACTTAGATTGAACTAATCCTTTAAGTATTTATTTATGTTGAATAAAACTAGTTAATGTACTGTTACAACATTAAGTAATGTTTTAGGTTGAACTGAAAAGCCATTTTATATTGTGTATTCTGAGCATAGAAAAAAGAGTAGGCCCAAAACTAAATGGTACAGAAGCAAAGAACAACCTACAAGTAAACGGTTAAGTGTGGTATTAGATAACAAGTGCTACCAATCTGTGTTTGCTTTATGTTTGTCCAGTTGTGTATCTGTTACACTGTAATGTGGGGGTTAAGGGGGAGGGGGGTTGTCTACTTCAGTGTTAAAAGGGGCAAGGGGGGTAACTCATTTTAGTGCTTGTATGTATTTTTCAGATCCCATCAAAACAGACTAAACAAGGAAAATATGTGTCAATTGACAGGAATCACAACCAACTCTCCAGTCTGGTGTGGTGACAAGACTGTATCCCAAGGTTTTGATCCAGTGGGTGCATGTTCCAGCCCACAGTGTCCTCAGATGTGGAAGAATGGTGCAAAAGAGGACACATAAAGACCTGACGTTGGTGTTACAGAAGTACAGCTGAAGCAGCCAGTTCATATTTGGACCAGTCTAGAGAAGTTGCAGTGCAGACAGGAGCTCCAATCTACAGAGGAGATCCAAGGGGAAGCCCACTAAGATGGCCAGTACTGGGGTTCATTAAGTGCTCAAGAGTTGAGAAAAAATAAACTCAGACTTAAGCAATTGAACCAGTTTTATTCAACTCAAAAAATTACTTTGATCTGAAGAATCATTCATTCATAGTATTTATTTAGATTCAATAAAACTACTTACAGCATGAAGTATTTTGTAGGTTAAGGTGACAAACCATTTTTTATGAGACAGACTGAAGGAAGAAGAGGAGATTGTGCAAGGTGTTCACATTATTGCCTGCACATTATGTATCATCACTGTGCAATAATTTTGCCTCCATTTTGTATCCATGTATATGTGTGCCAGTGTGTGACACTGCATTTTATCTTGAAACTACCATTTAGGGTACCACTGGGTACCAGTCTATAGCGCAGCACTTCTCCAATGACTTCTCAAGGTCAATGAGGGCCAACCTAGGGCAGGATGGTGTCGACCACTGAAGCCACTGAAAGTGTTTGGCTTTGGTTGTGAATTGTTTTATTTGTTTGATGTGGAAATAAAGAAATGGCTGCTACAACTGTCAACCCTGCCAGTGTTCTACAGATACAAATGGTTTTCATTAATTGAGAAAGGGACTGGGAGACAGCATATGGAAACAATTGCTGACAAAGGGATGGCAAAACCTTATTTACATTGAGCTTTCTCACTTCCTTTAAATGTGTACATATGGTGGGACTTTTGAGATGTTTACTGCTTATACTGCAATAAAATTAGCCATTTTCATAAAGGTTGAAGAGACATCTTTTTTTTTTACAACACCAACTAATGTGCTATGTGAGTCACGCATAATCAGAGCTCATTGGGAGAAGAAAGATACGCTCACCGCATCCAAGCTCTAGTGGAAAAGAAAGTGAAAAGAAGAGAAGAGAACAGAAGATGCCAGAGGAGAAGACTGTATATGGACTTATTCTCACTTAGTGCAAAATACTGCTCCTAAGAGACATGCATAATGGTGCTGTGTGGGGTGAGTAAGACCATTAAGTAGTCAAACAAGACAATCTTGTCAATAGACTGTTTAAAGAACCATTTTTGTAAATAAGATGCACATCAGGGGAACACATCTTAAAACTGGAAGATTCAGCAGCAGCGCTTTTGGAGAGGAGGTCTCTTTAAATCCCCCTCAATTAGACCAAACTCAGACAACATAGCTTCCCATAAAAGGTAAGAGACAGGGGAGGATGGGATGTTCACGGAAAAGTTAACAAAAAAAGGAAAAGTTAGTATTCTAAAAGAAGGCTAGGTGAAATTAAAAAATCATACTTCAGTATAAGGCATTGCTATGGGCAAAGCTTTAAGGTGATGTCTCCCCCCTCTGGGAAGACTCCACTTTGACTGGCTCTGTCCACACCACACTTGCACACCTGCAGTTGATCTAGGACTCATTAACTCTCCATTATGCAGTGCCCTCCACAAATATCAGCATCTCTGGTAATCATGAGCAAAACACGCTCTAAAAAATATTCTTTGTTGCATATCCTTTTGATGTTTCATTCAAACTATTAACAAAAATATTACCTAATTCTTTTGTGCAGCCATCATTGCAATGACAACAGATCTGAGTCTTCTTCATAATGCTTAATGAGATTGGAGAACACATGGCAAGTGATCTGAGATCATTTCTTCATACACAACCTCTCCAGATCCTTCAGGTCAACACTTGTAGGCTCTCTTCTTCAGCTCATCCCATAGGTTTTCTATGGGGTTTAAGTCAGGGGACTGGGGTGGCCATGGCAAAACCTTAATTCTGTGGTCAGTGATCCATTTTTTGTGCTGATTTTAGATGTGCTTTGGAATATTGTCCTGACGGAAGATCAAAATTATGGCCCAGTTTAAATTTCCTGGCTGAAGCAGTCAGCTTTTTATTTTATTCCTGATGGCACTTGATGGAGCCTATGATACCATGTATCCAGTAAAATTGTCCAGGGTCTATGGAAAAAAAACAGGTCCACCACCATACTTCACAGTGGGGATGAGGTACTTTTCTGCATGGCTATCTTTGTGTCTATGCCAAACTCACCTCTGGTATTTGCTGTGAAAAAACTCTATTTTGGTTTCATCTGACTATAGAACATGGTCCCACTAAAAGGTTTGGTTTCGGAGATGGTCTGACCTCGAGATCTAACTTATCTGCAATTTCCCATCTGTGATCCTTGGAGATTCTTTTGTTACTTAAACCATCTTCCTCACTGTGCATGGGGTCAGTATAAACATATTTCCTCTTCCCTGCAGATTCTTAACATCTCCAATTGTTTTACATTTCTTAGTTATTGTTCTGATAGTGGAAATGGGCATTTTCAACTGTTTAGCTATTGTCTTGTAGCCATTTCCTGAGTTGTGCAGTTCAGCAACGTTTTGTTCACTTCACTGCAGTATTTTCTGGCCTTTCTCGTAATGATGGATGACTAAGAGAATTTAGCCTGTGTTACATCTCATATATATTCCTTAGTAAAACAGGAAGTCATGGCTGACCATTTAGATGTTCCTAATGGCCTAGGTGAGCTTTAGAATATGAATGGGAATGTACTTCAGATTCCACTCTAAAGACTTTCTAGGGGTGCCATCAATTGTGGCAAACACAGGTTTAATGAAAATATTTATTTCATGACAAGATTTAGCTTTTTCTTTCAATCATTATACTTTAAATAAAGGTCAGATTTTTGCAAATATTTTGAATGAAAGTTTATTGAATAATATAATGAAAGATAATGAAAATGAAGAATATTTTTGCAGCCCAGGTACTGAGGTGCCAATATTTGCAATATTTGCAATACTTGTGGAGGGCATTGTATACTCCTTTGTTTGGTTTAGTTGTTTGCAAAGTCACTGTGGTCATCCTGAGCATTAAGCCATGTTTTCCATTTGTTGCTTTCCTGTTTTTACCCTATCTGGTCCTTTTGGATTAGGAATATGGATCTGCCTCCTGTTTTGCCTATCTGTGTTTTGACCCCTGCTTGTTCAATGGACTTTGTTTTGCCAGCTTCTACTTCAGGGTGCTGGAGCTGTTCATGAGAGAGTTCATGAGTGAGCGCCATCTGGCCCACTTTAGCGAGTCATTCCGGTCTGAGGAGGCTAAAGTGGCCTTTGTGGTTCTGTTGCTGCAAGGGCCTAACACAGACTGGGTGGCTCACGTGTGCCTTTGGCTTGGTGCTGAGAGAGGAAGAGGCTTCCCAGGGAATTTTTCTAATCTCACTCCAGTTTCTGTGTCACTGAGTGGAATGAAGGGGACACAGTTGACACAAAGTCCCCAGTGGCAGAGGAGGGTCTTACAGCCCTGCCTAGAGCAGCAGAGAACATCAGTGAGAAGCTGCAGGTTCCAAGGCTCTGCCCCGTACTACAGCGGGCACTGGCCTGTCCAACCTGTTCCAGTTCTGTTTTTCTGAGCAGCTCTGTGCCTGTACTGGCTCCCTGTCCTGGTCTGGTGCTGGCTTCCCAAGCTACTGCTTCTCCAGTGCTGGTTCCTTGTGTCACTCCTTTGCCATCTTACCATCCTGATCCAGTGTCAGCTTCTCAAGGTACTGCTCCCCCAGTGCTGGTTCTCTGTGTGGCTCCTGTGCCAGCTCCCCATCTTGATCCAGTGCTGGTTTCCTGAGCTGCTGTTCATCCAAAGGTGATTCCCTGTGAAGCTCCTGTGCCAGATGCACCCTGTGCAGCTCTGGAGCCAGCTTTTTGGACTGCTCCTCTTGTGCCAGCTCCTGGAGCTACTCCCGTGCTTGGCTTTAGACCTGCTCCTCCTTTGCCAGCTCCAAAAGCTGTTTCTTATGCGCCAAACCAATGGATGGCTTTACATCCTACAGATGGCCCACATTGCTGGTCCTGCCTCTGTCCCTCTGTTGACCTGGCTGATGGACTGCCCTTAGCTCAGTTCTTTCTGCTGGTTGTGGCTGTGCCTCCTCATGGGCCAGGCCTGCCCTCTGTTGTGTGCTTTGGGAGCTGCACCATATGAGGGGGTTTCTGTCTTGTCTTCCCTCTCTAGACTCTCCCTGGCTCTGCCCACTCACACCACACTTGCACATCTGCAGTTGATATAGGACTCATTAACTTCCTATTATATACATCTTTGTTTGGCTTAGTTGTTGGCAAAGTCACTGCGGTTATCCTGACCAATAAGCTTTGTTTTCTTGTTTTGCCTGCTTGTGTTTTGACCCCTGCCTCTTCAGTGTTGGTGTTAAAAAGGGCCGTTTGGGACTTTAATTTTACCTTTTAATGACTTGTTCATGTTCAGCCCGCCTACCTGTGTGCCTTTGGCCAATCGGAGTGCAGCACAGAGCATTCTGGGTTTGTAGGTTGGTCTGTGTTGTTCGATGGTAGTGGAGTGAAGGAAATGCCAGAATTCGTTGAGGTTTTGGGATTGTTTGGCCGTGGGATTTACCCCCTCTTTTCAATGTGTTGTGTGCATACATTTAAATGTAAGTATGTAAGTTCACTTTGTCCATTTCAAGTTTAGCGTTATCCATTACTTCTAAACGTTTGGTCGGCACGGTTTGGCAGTATGTCTGTATCACTAATTACCTGCATATGCTTATTATGGTATGGCATGTTGTCTTGCTCTTGAATGTGCCATTTCTGAATGTATGGTTTGCATACAGTGCTAGAAGTGTACTACCGTGTAAATTTAAGTGTTTAGCGCCATCTGCTGTAACAAGTTCGCCAAAGCTTGAGAAGTTTTAGTCATGACTCAGCTAAAATTGTGTACACAGTAATGCGCGTATAGAGCACTTTAAGTTGATCTGCTCAGCGAATGCCTTAAATGATGGTCTTACAGAACAATGTAAGCATTATAGTGTCTGCATTCGTTGTTCCTGGTGTCATATAATATTTTTGTACATATTCTTATGTATGCCTTTGTGTATATTTGTTTGTTCTGGAACCACACACACCCACTCTCACCCATTAAAGGGAATCAGTTGGATTCAAGTTGGTGGTGGCTCTCTGTAAAGCATTAGAGAAGCGTCCTGACCCGGCGCCCTGTAGTGATTCCGAATGTCCCTGAACTGGCCAGCAGTTTAAAACCTTTAAATATTTTTCAGTTGGACCGCCCCAAGTAAAGCCATTTCACACTTGCAAATGGCCTACATGCCTCCAATATTACAGATGATTTATATTAAATAGTATATTATTTAATTTTCATATTTGCCTTATTGTGGTAATTGGCAAAAAATGAAAAATCAATCCTACAACTGAGAAGCAACTGTGTTTAAAGCACATCTTATTTTACATTATAAAAATGTAATAATAAAGAACTACTACTAGTTTAATTGCAAAGGTATTTCATATATGAAGTCTGATAACAGTGTAAGTGATAAACTCACTGTGGTGTCATTCATATTGGTGACATACACCAGGACTTCTGCATTGCTCCTGCCACTCACATACCTGTAGCAGCTCCACACACACACCATCAGATACGCCTAGAAAGACAATGCAGCATTATTACCTCTGAGAAGAAAACATCAGATATTATATGAATAAATACTATAAATAAACAGAAAACTGCAGATATTATATGAATAAATGTTATGATGAGACAGAAAATAATACTATCAGAAGCTGCCAGACAAAAAAAACTCTCAGAAACTGCCAGACAAAAATCAAGTCAACTTGTGCTTTTTCATGCCTTTTTCAAGCAGTACCTGCAATCTGTGGCACTTTATCAGTGACAAAGAAAATTTCAATAAAGTAAGTAGAGAGATTGGATAGGAAAATGTCCACTGCTGGCTTAATATAATCCAAAACTATGTCTATTCTGCATGCATAAATCTGGTGCACAATGTTTAAGTTACTACAGTGACAGCTTTTAATCACAGAGCTGTCACAATTACAACTGTAATAGAAAATTAAATTAGAGATACTAATAAATAAAATAAATTAGAGATAATAATATTATGATCACGGTGGGTACCTTGAAGGCTAAGATGCAGGTGATAAAAAGTAGGACAATGAGGACCAGACATGTGTTGCTCATGGACATTATCTCCTCTTTGTAGGGGAAGTTTCCTGGCTGTAATGGAGTGTAGAGATCACATTACCAGTGCTAGAAATTCCTTCTATTGACAACTCATAACAGTATTACTCAAACATAAAAAAACATTTTGGAGCCATTATCAAGTCATTTATACAGAAAAAATCATGTGCATTGCAGAGTAGGCTTAAGTTAAGGTTGTGGTTGTATTAACTACACCCTATTATAACATAAGGGATGAGTTCCCGTCCCCAGTTTACTGACCAGTTGCTGTAGATAGTCATGGATGGTATTGGGGTAGACCACCACACTGACCGCCACCAGTGCATTCAGGGCAAAATCGAAAACTTGATAAGAGAAAAAAGGAATGATCCAAGCAGCATGTAACTAAAAGAGGAGAGACAATATCAAGATTACTGTATTGAAATATTGCAACAGAGGGCTTACAGTTTGCATCATGAACAATATAAAAGAGATGGAAACTAAGCAAGAAACACAAACTCCAAACCTGCAAGCATATTATGGTAACTGGGCAGATCTCTAAGCTACTGTAATATGGAATATGCCATGGGTGTGTGTTTACTAACCATATCAGGTAAACTCTAAAGTTTCTATATGACATATAGTCATATAGAGTCATTGTAGTCATAAATGACAATCATAATTTATTTTTACATTTACCTTCCAACCCGTTTATTAAAAAGGCTGTTTTTGTTACTGTGCCTTTATTGTGCCTCATTCAAAATGTAGTAAAAGACCTGAAAGGCCAAACAGGCATTCATCATTAAAATAAATTCAAAATGGGCTAATTTTACAGCTTAGGGTCCATAAAGGGACTGCATGGGCTGAGCAGTGAACTGTATGTTTTAAAATGTTAACAGCCTTTTCATACATTACACTCTTTTACGCCAAAAAAGTGAGGAAAATTAATTTTCCCATAATATGTTGCCTTTATTGTAGTTCTCTGTGCTTCAAAAACTGATAGTACACCTTACCTTATAAGCTCCATATATTGCCATGCCACAGATCACTATCATGAGAAGGGATATTGCTGAAGCAATGCACATATCTACACAGAAAAAAATATCTTCAGTAGTGTTTAAACAAGAACATGAAAGGTAAAATTAGTGTGTTAGGAAATAACTGCCTCCTCTTGTTGCCATACAAATGGTGTTTCTGCATTTCTTTAAAGAGATGATGCTATTTTTGATTTGAGAAGACTTCTGCTGTTCTTTAACTTAAAATGTTAAGAAGTAACATTAGGTTACGTTAAGTTTAAAAGTATAGTTCAGTTATAGTTCTAGTCAGCACCTACAGTGATTTTTTTCACTGTGCAAGTAAACAGCACTGTCAGAGATGTAACTCTTAAACATTATTACAAAATATTTTTAACCCCTAAAAAGGGTCACACTCTGTAAAAGGTTAAGATCCCCTTGTCATCAGAATGTTTATCTAATCCTAATTTAATGAGTACTAAAAGTTCTATAATCGGTAGATTCAAAGCTTTCAAAAGGCATCTAAATCAGGCTGAAAAACTGATAGACCTCTCTGACACAGCGATATATACTGATCTGTGATATTGATACTAATTCAGTATTCACATATTTAGTAGTACACTGGGGTTTGTTTCTCACTGGTTACCATGAAGCTTATTTAAATTCTGTGCTGCATGGGAACTGTATCTATCACGACACACAATCAGTCCCAATATCACAGACACTCACATATACACACAGAACATTTCCTAAGCTGTAAAGTGTTTTTTGTTGTATATTTTCTCTACTGTTTTAGTGTGCAGCACTACTGCTGTCTTACTGGCATCGTCCATAACATCTAGGTCATTGGCTAGCTCAGCACTTGTCAAGTGATACTGGTCCGGGTCACTGAGTGCTGTGAGGAGGATGAAGAAGACCACAGCATTGATGAGCTATAGGCACAAAAAAAGGACTTTAAATCAGCGTTGTAATACTTCACCTCAAAAACAATCATACAGAACTCTCAAAACAACAATTTCCCAACAACACCTTCTGAAAGACACATGAATTATTGTTCATTTAAATTATTTTTAAACTGTAGTCCCCAGGCAGGTATAGAGAGGACAACGGAAATGACCAAGACACATAAAATGAGATTAACCAGAAATGATACACACAATAAAGCAAGATGTATATTAAATAAAGCATGATGTGAGCTGTTACAAAAATTTAACAACTATGATCACACACACTTTAATTTATTTCAACCAAAATTTTAAATATCAGCTTTATCACTGAGAGCTATGGTGGGTTTCTCTAAAAACAATACTCCACCTAACCAGGACCTGGCGAAAGCCATTAACAGCCTATGAGCCACCTGCTCTGGTCTCTGGTGCACAGCACTGTTCTCTTAGACGCTTCTTGAGGAATGTGCCATGACTCATCACAAAGGCACACACATACTTATCCTCTTTAAGAGACTTCAAAAGACTCACACTAACAGAGATGGTCTGCTGAAAGAGGCCACTAATCTTTAGAGCTCCAGGACCTAGAGAAGCACAGCTTGAGCATCCAAACGCTGTCAGCACCAGCTCAATAGCATGCCTAGTCTCTCTCTCTAGGCCACTGTACCATCCATATCACTTGCATTACTGCAGTGGAATCTGGAAATACTTTAAAGTTATACTTTATTCCCAGCAAAATTATTAAATTGCTAGATGTCACAAGGGAATACAGACCCAGATGCCATTGTGAAACATGCTATGTTACCAGGCACAGGCAGGTGGGGGAAAATAAAATTAACCAATAATATCATGTTTTACCTCCCCATCATTTTCAAGTAGAGAATGCTCAGCTAGCTCAGAGACCTTCCCTAAACTTCCTTAAAAATGTGTTTTACTCTAAAATAGGTCACAATATGAAAGAAATGTGCATTATGATTTCTAACTCACACTGATATTAACAGCAACAGTCGCTACACATAGTTGCTACACATGGAGTTTCAATAAAACTTAATAAATTAATAATAACGGAAGCATTAATAAATCACCAAACCATCAAGGACAAAGCAGGATTTTTGCTTTTTTTAGGCGAATGTTCAAACATTTAGTGCAAGCACCAATAAACACCTTTTATGAAAAGCTAGTTGGCTAATCATTAACTATGATTTATTTTATCACAGAAAGTTAAAATAATAAGCAAGACAATGAAGTCTTATAGTAACCTAAGAAAACAGTGGGTAAGAAAAGGCTCCTCTGTTTGAGGTATGCTGAATTTTGCCTAAAAGAAGCTATGATGAATGAAATGAAAAACGGTGGACTTCGATCCTGTTACGGAGGGACTGAGACAAACAGGCTTCACCTGAGAGCATTCAGTGAATAATGGATGAACAGAGAAGTGTTTTGTTCCCTCTGCTGTTCAAATCCTCTCTTTTAACAGGATACCAGAGAATACTCTAATGTATACAAGTTAAACAGGGTCTTCATGCCACTGTTGTATGACTGCAGCAGTCATCAACTCTTTTACCTTACTTAGCTTCCGAGTCAAACTTATCAACCAAATCTAAAATTGGAAAACACATCCCGCATTAGGAATTTCTAGGATTGTGTGACATTTGCAAAATAGGTAATGTACTGCATATTTACATGATTTATATTACATTCAATAATGCAAGATATAATTTGATGCCAAGCAGAGGTTGTGATTCTATTGCTGATGATTTTTTTTTTTAATTTATTTACTTACTTACTTACTTACTTACATTACTAATATTACTTTTAGGTTGGCTCGTCATCTAAAAAAGGACAAAAAAACAGTTTATTCAAAGCTTTAGTTGTCCTAACATGCAACATCGCGTCTGTAAACCATCTCGGCTACTAGGATTTTTTTCATAGTGAAACTTGTCATGCTAGCCTCAGTACAATCCCATGAATACTTGAGAACAATAACCACATGTGTGCGTTGGCGCAGAACTCTTACCATGTACCATATTCCGAGTATGATGGTCCCGGTTCGGACATGACAGCAGAGACAACAGCGCGTCGAGTGGAGTCGTTCCCATGGGGAAATCATCTTTCACAGGGCTCACATACGGCTTTACTCGAGGGGCTACCTGCTAATAAATGAATATCCTTTTTAGGATTGACATGATCATGGAAACGTTCTCCGACAAATAAGTAATTACTGGGAGCAGCAGTTTGCGATTCAATGTAACATACGTCCCCTGTACCACGTGACCACAGAGGGATTTGCACAGTATCAGCGGTAGAACTGTGAGTGACGTAATGCGCTGGTTCGAGAAAGTCGCTGTGATCGCTTCTAGTCAGCTGGTGTCTCAGGATAGAGGACCGCGGTAAAGTTGGTTTTGTGGTCGCATATTAGGATTTCTTTCTTCAGTACCTTTCAAACGGTGCGTGCAAAAGGGTTAAAACTAGCAAATTATCGTTGTTAACATCCAACACAGGCAGCTACAACTTCGTGTAGGTCGGAAATGCATGTCTTAAAAAAATGAGCACATTGATTTCTACGGGCTGCCGCGACCCCCGCGGGCACTAAGGGGCCGTCTACAAATTACAAAACAGTAAAGACGCAGGTGACCATCTGGGGGGTGGGGGTGGGGGCGGTGGGGGGTATTTCGCGCTTTATTTTATTAAAATTGAGCCTTTGAGTCATAGTATGTATTTTGACAAAGTAGTTAAAGGTTTTAGAAAAGAGCTGTTTTTGTAATTAAAAACAACAACAAACACAAAACATGAAATGACATGATGACATGCATGACATGAAATTACAAAGTTGGACTCACTTGACTGAATTATTTGAGAGTCATTAAGATTGTCCATATAACCCACAAAAAGAGTTCTGAATATTTTTTTTACAGCTAATGCAATGCAATATCTACTAGGTAATATCTGTACATGACATACAGTCATATACAAAAGTCTGGGCACCACTGATTGCAATAGCTTCACATATTCACAATGCACCAAAACAAGTACATAATAAACTTCGAAAACAGATTTTATGAACTACTTTTGACAACTTTTTGAATGTTTGATGGGAACACTCCAAAACAGCTTTGTTAAGTGCAACTTGTATGATGTACTACAGCTCATATTTGCAACTGTAACTTCTGCCAAACTCTTGTGATAGATTTATGTGAATTTATTTCAATAACTTTAGAAGTTAATAATTTCACTCCAAAACAAATTGTACTTCACCAAGTACAATTTGACATATTGACACGACATACTACACTTCTTATATTCATAACTTTAGCCTCTGCTGATCTGTTGTGCAAGAATTCTAGAAACTAATTTCACTAACTTTTGAACGCTTGATCATGTCACTCCAAAACAAGTTGTACTTAATCCAATGCACATGGCATACTACACCTTTTATATTAGTAATTTTAACATCTGCTGGCCTGTGGCGATAAGTTTTTGTGAATTAATTTCAATTGCTTCTAAAAATTTAATGATTTTGTTCCAAAACGAGTTGTACTTAATCAAGGGCAACCCATATGACATACTACATCTCTTATATTTGCAACTTTAACCTCTGCTGATGTGTAGTGAAAGGTTTTTGTAAATTAATTTCAATGGGCTTTTGAACATTACAATATCACTCCTAAACAAGCTGTACTTAATCGAGCGCAACCAACATAACGTACTACACCTCTTATCTTAGAATCTTATCTTGGAACTTTAACCTATGCTAATCTATAATGAAAGAATTTTGTGAATTTCAAGCTTTTGAGTGTTTGACAATATTACTCCAAAACAAGATGCATTTAGTCCAGTGCAACCCACATGTCATACAACACCTCATATACTGGTAGCTTTAACGTCTGCTGGCCTGTGATAATAGCTTTTTGTGAATTAATTTCAATAGCTTTTCAACATTTTACAGTATTTTACAAAAATCCTTCACTACAGATAAGCCAAGGTTACATTTACCAGTATAAGAGATGCAGTATGTCATGTGTGTTGCACTTGATTAAATACAACTTGTTTTAGAGTGATATCATCAAATATTCAAAAGTTATTAAAATTAATTCACAAAAATGTATCACCACAGGCTGGCAGAGGTTAAAATCACTTATTTAAGAGGTGTAGTATGTTATGTGGGTTCCACTTCATTAAGTACAACTTGTTTAAGAGTGATATCATCAACCGTTCAAAATCTACTGAAATTAATTCACAAAAACCTTTTCCAGTTGAAGTTATCACTGATGAATATCATGTAGAGAGATGAGTCTTGCCAGGTTTGACCCTGATTTTCACATAGTAGGTATCACAAATCATTAACTGTATAAAAATTATTTAGAACTCTTTGTGTGTGTAACATGGAGAATCTTAATGACTGTTAAATAATTCATACAAGTGAGTCCAACAATTTTGTAATTACATGTCATGCCATATACTGGAGTGCTTTTGTGTATTTTTATTTATACAGAGCCATAATTTCAAATACAGCTCTTTTCTAAAAACTTTAACCACTCACTGTGACGTGTCAAAAGACTTACCGTGGCTCATAAGGCTTAACTTTTATTAAATAAAGCGCAAAGTGCTTTTTCCCCGCTGATCGTCACCGGCGTCTTTACTGTAATGAATTTTGTAAACGGCCCCTTAGCTCTCGCGGTGGTCGCGGCAGCCCGTAGAAATCAATGTGTTCAGTTCTTTCTATAGACAAACATTTATGACCTAAACGAAGTCGTAGCTGCTTGTCTTGGATGGTAACAACGACATTGTGCAGATAACTCTTTTTGTACGCAGGGTTCAAAAGCTTTCGATAACTTTCAAACAACCTAATCTAAATAAATACATACATTTGAAATATAGTAGTATATCAAGTATATCTACTTAAATGGCAACTGGTCTGCTTTAAACCTACAGGCTGGATGTTAGTGTCAAAACCATAAGCAAAAGACACACACACTCTCTCTCTCTCTCTCTCTCTGTTTTAGTTTTACTTGATTCAAATGTGTACACTGGCTCCATTTGAATTAAATGTTACATCGACATAGTTAAGCTACTATGTGTAAGTGCTTAATTAACTTACCGATGTACACATTTTAATCACGTAAATTTATCCACCTTTTCAGTGTGCTTACATGTGCTGTAGTCTACCTCCCGTGGCCATTTTAAAAACAGCCTTAACAGCCCTGCACGAAATTATTTTTAAATGTTGTTATCTGCGAATTCATATAACTTCACATGGCTGTTTCTTCTCACAGTGTTCGCGGAACCTTAAACAGTTTTTTTTTTATATTTTGTGCTTAAAATAGTCTAGGTTGTTGTTGTTACCTGGCATTCGCTTTGTTAGCATGCGCTTTCTGCGCATGCTCCAACCTGAAAGTCTTGGGAGCGTCGTTTGAGTTTTCACGTAGATGTGTAAATCTTACTGATCTTCAAGTCATTATTCCCTGGATATCCATGTTGTATATGGCATACAGATCGTAGTATCTGTGTTCGTTCTTCGTTGCTCAAACGGCGCCCCTGGACAGAGTTCTCTCAGGAAGCCTATGACTCCGAACTACGAGCCGACTTTTTCCAGGCCCCTAATAGAGCTACAAATTTTTGACGGGGTTTGAAGATTGTTTGGACACTACACTGAAGTGAATCATGCGGCGGAGAAACAGGAACTTACGTAAGTAGGTAATTCTACAACATGAAAGAGAATTAGGAGATACTGATGTTTGATCGATGCGCATAAGCAAAATACATTTACACTGTCAAGCGAGCTCGACTTGTTTCTATTACAGTCGTGGCTAGCTGTTTTCGCTAAAGGTAGCCTTTCTTTGGGAGATTTTGAGAGCCCAAAACTATGCTTCACCCTTTTCTCTTTGAGCTGGCCCACTTTGTATAGACTGCGATAACATACCATGCGGGAACAAAGAAAACGTTTCCTGACTAACTTAGCTAACTTTTTGAAATCGACTAAGCCAGTTCGTAGCTAGTACTGATGTATGAGTAAGCGCTAACAATTTATGCTATTGCTGCGTTCGAGTGGTGTCAGAAGCTGGGAAATACCAGTTTCCCCACTTGTAAATTGTACTCGAACGACCGACAAAGTCATACTTAACGTTATAACTGGTGAACTCGGGATTCTAGATGATACACACGTTTACGAGATATGACGTATAACGCGACTTTCAACCTTTTACACGAGTGAAAAACGCTAAGCTTGTAGTGCATGTGAAAAATATATACCCAATGCGCTTCTATTAGATCTATGTGCTTTTTAATACAGCGGAGAAAAAGCAGGATATGTATTCTCCGGACCTTCATGCTTTTCTTTCCCGTGTGGTGGGCGTTTCTATGAACGAGCACCCGAACAGACCTTAATCTTATTGACTAGTTAACCATCTGCTAAACACAACCTTCCGATGAACACCCGAACGTAGCATAATATTATGTGTGCCTGGCTTAGGCTACGAACAACAGACTTCGAGGCGTGGACTGAAATCAAACTCCCTTACATTCCACCGTTCACAACGGCATGTCTGCACCAGCAAGCCGCCTTTAGGCTATGTGTGATAAATCGTATCAAATTAGCACAGTGTCGGAAGAGGATACCATGCATGATGTTTCTCTGGAGATTTTACAGCTGGAATTAGGACACTTTGATCGCAGAGACGATCTGCTTTCTTTTACCTTACTATATAAAATCCCACCAAACAACTAATTAGGATTAACTTCACGATGTACACATTGGCTTAAACTTCAATTGGAGTCAACTTCATTTTATAGGAAAGGTATTTCCTGAACTGTTTTTTCTTTCAGTAGTGTTAAGTAGACTTATATTATGACGGGTTTCTTAAAAATGCGCAGTGAATTGTTTAAAACGTTAGGTCTCGTAGCGTGCCTGTTGCTGTGCAGCACTAGTGTAACTTGCGTGACCTGTTCTATCACTGTTTCAGTCTCCCCTGTGAGTCGAAGTGAACCGAAATAAGAAACAAGCCAGTTATCCCAAAGCCAGTGGCTGCATGTCTCCATGGATATGACCCATGACATCGTGGAGTTTGGAAGAAGTGGACCAGCCCAACTATCGGTGACTTAAGCAACACCCTCTTCTTCATTGTATTGCTGTTGAAAGGAGGAATTTCGTTTTGTGGCAGCAGATCGGACTGTGGTGGAATAGCTATTACAATGCCAAGCTATGCTTGGATGTTGTTGGGTGTGTGTATGGTGCTGGTGGACTCATGCCTGGCTCACAGCCTGTTTACCTGTGAGCCAGTGCGGGTGCAGTGGTGCCATGGCATGCCCTACAACATGACCTTCTTCCCCAACATGCTTGAGCACTACGACCAGGACATTGCTGCTAATAAAATGCAGGTAAGGTCCTCCTCTGGCTAACCTGTTTCATGGACATTCTCGCTAATGTGATTTTACCAGACAGCATGGGAAACATACACATTGCCTGTTTTGGTTGGGTCATTGTTATGATTCTGAAGACTTTGCTGATGCATTACTAAAATGAGCCTGCAAAATCCCTAACTAGGGTGATTAGCGTTGCTCTG